AAGGAAATAAGAATCTACTAGAAAGCCATTGAAATAATTCAGGTGATAGGTGATAGTAATTTCAGTAAAAAGTTGGCTGGAAAATGTAATGAAAGTGGCAGAGGTCTGCATATATCTTGAAAGCAGAGACTACAAGATTTGCTGATTGATTAGAGAGGGTAAGAAAGAACTAAAAAGTGTTTTCAAATCTTTTTGGCCTGGGGGAGCCTGGGTGGCTCAGTGGGTTAAAGCCTCTGTCTTCGGCTCAGGTCATGATCCCAGGGTCCTGGGATGGAGCTCTGTATCAGGCTCTCTGCTCAGCGGGGAGCCTGCTTCCCCCCCTCTCTCTGCCTGCCTCTCTGCCTACTTGTGATCTCTGTCTGTCAAATAAATAAATAAAATCTTTAAAAGAAATCTTTTTAGCCTGAACAACCAAAAGGAAACAGTTGTAATGTCCTGATATAGGAAAGATGGGTGGGAATGAAAGAGTAGAGGGAAGGTGGGGAAAATCAGAAGCTAGATTTGGGGCAAGTCTACTTGCAGAAATGTAGTCAAGATCCAAATGTTGATGTGGAGTTGGCAGTTGGTTATACAAATTCAGGGAAGAGATCTGGATTGGAGAGATGGATTTTGGAGTCCTCAGTTTGTGGCTGATAATCTCTGAAACTGAATGAGATTTCTGAAAATATGCATGTAAATAGAAAAGAAAGAGGTCTGAGGCTTAGCCTTAGGGAGACTCAAACATGTCAAGTCTGGATAGACAAGGAAAAATCATCAAAGGAGATGGAGAGAGACAGTCAATAATATGGGAAGCAAACCAGGAAATGTATTGTTCTGGAAGCCAGGTGAAGAAAGTGTTTAAAGGAAGAAATGATTGCCTACATCAAATGTTGCCAATTAGGACAAATGAGATGAAGACTGAAAATTGACCGTTGATTTAGCAATGTGATCAGTATTTCTTCTCAGTGGGGAGAAGAAAAAAATCTGACAGCCAGAAGTGCTGCCTCATTTGAAGTCCTCCTTACATAACCCTGGATCCCATAGTTTTCAGGAGCTGAATGGATTTTGGAATTTATTTTATTCTATGATGCTCCATTACTCAATTCCTTATGTCTATGCCTGGTCTGATTTCATATTGGTATTTTCAAGTTGATCTTTAAGAAAATTATGTGAAAGAGACAAATATTACTATCATTGTTTCTTAGGAAATACAGTTTTAAGAGAAGATAAATGTTTTATCGTTACACTTCTGGTTAGTGCAAAGTGGTGACCTCAGCCCAGGGCTTCTGACTTCTAGAACTTTCTCCTGCTCCATTAATTTCTAAGAGAGTGATTGATGCCTCCTTCCTTTTTCTTTGGACTTTCCTTTATGCGTTGCCCACTTCTTTTCATAACTTCTGTTTACTCTTACTTAATCCCTTGAATTTGGGTCCTTAGATTTTTTTCGAACACCTGCATGCCATGACCTTTAAGGACAAACATTGATAGAACCTTAGGGCTTCAGGGAATTTGGACTTCTGCCAGGCTACAAATCCAGATAATAGTTTCATATCACCTCATGACCATCCTTTCCTGTAGGATTTACTTTCTTCTACTACCCAGCATAGGAGAAAGTTTGGGTAAATGACCAGCACTGTACCATTGAACATATATCTCTCCATTCTCTTGTTACAAAGATAATGATTATAGAGTTCAACATCCAAGTACTCAGTAAATATTGTGAGTCTGATCTCATATAATATACTTGTTCTCCTTTTTCCTGTCCTTGTTCCTGAGTCTTTCGAAGAGTTTTTCTTCTTTCCACCCTTATATTCAAACATAAGAAGTCCATAGTATTTTAATGACTTAAGAGATCATTTTACAACAGACATCTATCTTCAAGCTGACTTCTCAGTGATGTCAACTCATTACCACTCACACACATAAGCATCCATTTGGAAAAAAATATTGGATTAATCACAACTTTTAGATCATAAAACATGAATGACAAACACCAGGCAGGCAGTGGATTGTATCAGTATCTGTTTCCTGGTTGTGATATTGTATAAGGCAAGATGTTACCAGTGGAGAAAACTGGGCAAAGGGTATTTAAGACCTCTGTTTTACTTCTTAAAACTGTATGTGAATCTACAATTATCTCAGAATAAAAAGTTTAAAATTTATACAGGTAAAACGACATCCATGGGCAGACTTCTTTTTCTAAGACCTTCAAACTGTGATATATGATGCTGAGGAGGGAAGGCACAACAGAAATTGCGCTCTTAGGCAGAAGCTAGCATGCTGGCCTTTGGAAGTGGTATAAAAAAGTCACAGAAGCTAACAGATAAATAGCAGTCTGGATAAAGAGAGGTGGCAATGAATATGAATTTTTATTTTAGCACCAAATATAGTCGTGGCGTTTGCAGTATTACTGTTAGTATAGAGTCCACCTCCAATCAGCTGCCACAGTCACAGTCAGCCACCTGCTGCAAAATCATGTATTTTTTTTCACAAGAATTGTTATAATCTATGTATCCGGCTGGTCATTGTTCCAATTTCCAAAGCTAAATCAAATATGTTGTCCTTGTTTCCACTCCATCTCTTTTCTAGTCTTCCGGCTTTCCTTCCCCTTCCCAGGATTTCTTAAGATCATTGACTCCACTGACGGAAGTCAGACTTCTGACCGCCTAATAAATAAGTTCACCAGTGAAGAGCCTATTTTTCCTTCTGTTTAATTACAGGCTTCAGAGACACTCAAAATGGAGGGTGTCCTAGGGACAAATAATACTGTAGGCTGGGTTTACTTATCTCCTGTTGGTATTGGCACCAAGCCCTTCCTCTGCTTTGCAATTCATGGCTGTGTCTGTGGCTGCATACTAAACAGACCGAGGCCACCACACAGCCCGTCCAGATGCCTCTCAACTAATCCACATACCTTAACGGCCAGTTCCAGTTCAGAGCAGTAGTTTAGGTAACTAACACTGCTGATTTGTTTCTAGTGCAATCTAGGTAAGCCATCATAAATTAAGTCATGTATTATCCTTTGATTTGGATGTGGTGAACTATGCTGGGACTTGAACCACCACGTGCTTGTTCTGAATTCTGGATGATTGGCTTCAAAATTGACCCTTGGAAATGTATGTATCTATAAAATGATTAAATGGCAGAATTAAGAATAAAATCAAACATACAAGAAGCTGTGAAAAATAAATTTCCCTCCTACTCATGTTTCCTCAGACTCTCATTTCCCTTATGCAGAGAAAATCACTGTTAATAGTTTCAAGCAGAGACATCTTGTGCATATATGAGTATATGTGTGTATGTTTCATAGAGAAGGAAGACACCATAGCTGTATTTCCCTAATTATTACATAAAAACCAGCAGGCTGTACACAGTGTCCCACAATTTGTTCCTTATACTTAATGATAACTCTTTTTTTTTTTAAGATTTTATTTATTTGACAGAGAGAGATGCAGCAAGAGAGGGAACACAAGCAGAAGGAATGGGAAAAGGAGAAGCAGGCTTCCCGCCGAGCAGAAAGCCCGATGCTGGGCTCGATCCCAGAACCCTAGGATCATGACCTGAGCCGAAGGCAGATGCTCAAAGACTGAGCCACCCAAGCACCCCACTTAATGATGACTCTTAGAGGTCTTTCCTTGTCAGTAGCTGCAACCTATTCCACCTTCCTTTCTATCATCGACCTATCTATCTAGATATCTAGATATCTATCTATGTATTTTCAGTAAGTTCTACATCCAGTATGGGGCTTGAACTCACAACCCTGAGATCGAGAGTTGCAATCCCTATCGATTGAGTCAGCCAGACCTGCTGCCATGCCTTTTTAAACAGCTGCTTAGTATTTTTGTTGAGCAGATATAATCCTTTTGTATTTACATAAGCAGCCCCATTTTGATGGACATGTGCTATTTCTAATATTTTATTACCAACAATGCTGTGTGAACATCATTGCATGTAATAATTTGTGCTACTTGTAATAGTATCTGGAGGATTTATTCCTGGAGGAATTCCTGACCAACAGATATATTCAGTTTTTAGGTTAATAGGTATTGCCTAATTGTCTTCCCAAGAGGCTGTACAGTTTTCCCAACCATGTAAGAGAGGACTTACCTCCCCTTAGCTATCTCTCTTTGATCTATTATCCTTTTTATCAACTTGCCATTCTGATTATAATTGCAAGCAATATGTATCTTATTATGAGTATGGTTAAGCACCTTACAAACCATTTGCTCCATTCTTTCCACCTAACCACTAAGTTCTTCATCATTCCTTGAATAATGTCTATTCCTCACTAGCTTGAAATGACAACTGAAATCTTTGTTTATTTCAATCTGTTTTTGAATTCTATTCCATTTTATTTATCTTACTGTTTATATGCGTCCATATCAGTTTACTTCTATATTTTTCTAATGTTTTAATATAAATTAAATTCATGCCTCTTTATTGTCCTTTTTCAGAAATTCCCTAGACATTTTGCAAGCTTTTATTTATTTATTTGTTTGTTTGTTTGTTTGTTTATTTGGCAGTTGTGTTGGAGTTGTTTCATCAAACATTGAAATATGCACTGTTTAAAAGTAGGGCACGATCATCATGAGACAAGGAAAGCTTTATGCCCAAGGTTGAGTTAGACCTGGGACTGAAAATGATGTGTAGGAAAAGAAGAGGTAAAGGACCAACAAAGGGAAGAAAATTAAACATTCCAAGTAGCAGATCCTGTATAAATCCCAGAAATGCCCTAGAATAAAACATGCTCTTGAATGCCCTAGGTTATTTAAGCAGCCAGCTAGTTTTGCAGGTCAGCATGTATAACCCTGACTTCTGAGGGCTTGACAAACAGTACCAGGGTTCTGACCTTACACTGAAATTCCTTGAACTCTGAGTACCTGTGAGCACGCACCCAACATGCCTGCCCCCCAGTGTGCACATTAAAAGTCACAAGGAGCATCATTAATGAGTGCTTCGGTGGGAAGCATAACTTAGAGGCTAACAAGTTCCAAGGAAAGAGGGAGATCAACACAGAAGCCCAACCACTGGCTTCGAGCAGCTCGTTCCTTAAGTATGTTGGGACCCAGACCTTTTAATTTTACTTCAGTGATCTCAAAAGCAGGAACCTCGTGTTTGCCACTATTCCAGGTAACCATCTCTCTTTTTGGGAAGAGATTTTCATGGGTACTCTAAGAACCTGATTTGTTCTAGATTTGTTTTTTGGGTAACTTAACTATTCTCACATTTATAAGATTTCCTCTAAGACGGTGTTACCACCAGCTTATGACTTACATATTTACTGGTGAGAAATACAGAAGACGAAATGGTCCATGTCATTAGTCTTATTTCTTCTTTATTAGTTCTACTACCATTGAAGTAATATGACACAATATAATCTTTGCTTAACTTTGCTAGGCTGTGCATTTTTTTTCTAAATAAAAGTTACTGCTGATAAATCCAAATGCTGTGGCAGGATTAATTTAAGACATATTTACTGTTGCCTACAACTGTCCTTGAGGCTTCCCCATTTCTCAGTGCTGAGCAACGCAGACAGACCCATCTTAGAGTTTATTTTGGTTCCTCTACTTTTTTTAGCATCTCATTCAGACTAATACCTGCATCTCTGTATCTGTGTTACTTGAATGCAATGTATCTGAAAGATTTCAGTCCTGCTCATCATTTCGTGATAACCCCGAGGTCCGTCAGCTAATGCATCAGCAGTGAGGTAGGAATAATGGATGACTGTGGACTCCTCGCTAGGTAGGGTGCAGCACAGGAGACTAGGGAGTGACTTGAAAGTGAAATGCAGACTTTATTTATCTGTTAAGCTGGTTCCCTAATGATTTCATCTACTCATAAATAAACTTTCTTTATGGACAAAATTTGAATGTTCATTTTCCTCTCTGTTAGTATGCAAATCTATTTGCTGCATTCGAGCGAAAGAGAGTGCAACTCATTTTCTGGGCTTATAAATTGTTCATTACCATGCTCTCTGATGGCCAATTCATGGCTCCATCTGCAACTCAACAAATCTCTTTGCCTAGATAAACTTGGTGGAGTAAAATATAAGGTGCCGAAGAAGATGCATTTGAGATTAAAGGGGGGAGAAAGATATATTTCACAAAAATCCTCGAGCTTATCATTTTAAATTTTGTAACTTCATACTTGTATTCATATTTGCATGGTATACTCTAGGATAATAAATACTTCACTGATCTCATTAACCCAAGTTTAAGAGCCACCTATGAATGACATGTAAAGATTTTCTCATTGTCCCTGGAAAGCGTCTCATTTTAAGGGAAAAACAAACCTGCAAACAAAACCTCTAGAACAGAGTACTTTCTTTCCTCTGTGATGTGTTATTTTAACCGGTAAGGCTCAACACAAAGAACTAGGATAATTATGTTGAAATGCTGATGGTTTGGGTCATTTAAAACAAAGCAATCAAGTTTACTACCTTTTCTCCCTTCTTTGGTAAAGACACACATGTAAATCTCAACAGGACTGTCATGTAATTTTAAATGGACCTTCCCCCCCTTGGAGCTAGTTAAAGTCACTCCTTCATGCATGTATTTAACACCCATTAATGTTAATGGGATGGACTTCTGTTTTCACATAAGGAACTTGATTTCTTTGTGTGAAAATAATACTCCACAAATAATGAACTTTCTTCCTCCAGCTAAAATGTGAAAACAAAAAAATGCAAGGTGCAAGGAAGGTCTTTCGAGCAAACAATATCTGCCTATAGAAAGAACAAAAGGCATTTTCACATCCGTCTACTGTCGGATAGGAATCTGGCTCACAATATGTATTTCCTGTCACTGCTGAGCTAGAGAATCTACCGGGAGATTTTTTTTCAATTAAAATTCTGTGCACCAATAATGGACTCTGCTATGGAGCTTTTAATTAAAAAAACAAACGGAATGATATAAACCCACATTGTCTCTAAGCGCTGTTTGTATTAAAGGATTAGACTGATGAGATGTTTGGATTTTATTGTCCTAAACATGTGTTTCAGTTGGTGCTCTCGGACCCACCATGTGAAGAAAGTGAAATGTAAGTAAATAGCAAGAGGCTTCATGTTTTTATTTAGCATTTTCAAAATTCAAAGAATAAAAAAAGGCTCAAGTCATTTGAGAAGCCCCAAATGAGTCTCAAATGATGATTATAATCATGCAAGAAAAGTAAGAGCAAATTGTTTTTAAATGCAAATGGCTCAATTTTTCTAAAAGCAGGAAAAGAGACACTTTCATTATGATTAGTTTTGGCAAATATAAGGAGCCTCATTGATTTCTAGGTATTTTTGCTCACTGCATTCTCCACCAGAGTGGTAGCAAGGGTTCTTCAGTCTCACAAAGATGTCATCTTCATCCGCACCCCCACTTGGAAGTCACAGTGTTGGTGGGCCACCATTTTCTGGGTATTCGGTTTCAAATATAAGCCACCTGACAAAGATTCTCACCCGTATTTTGTGTACATTTCAAAATGCATTTGATATACGTTATGAGAATAACTGACTCAATTTTCTCACTTTGGGGACTGTCAACTTAATGGTTCCCAGAATTCTATTCTGGACTTGGGGGAGAAGGTGCCATTAATAATGCTGATGATGATTAATAAGAGCTGTAATGCACTGTGACTTAATGCAAGTGTCAGAAAAGCATGTCTGCCAAGCACGGCCTTCTCGGTGCAGCCCTGATGACCAGGTGGCTCTTTTCAATTATTATTACCTGTCACCCTCAAGGCCAAAGTCTCATGGCCTGGGCGCTGCCTCCAGATGAAGAGGCCGTGCTATGTGGAATGTCTTCCTTGGCCCTGGAACCATTCACCTGCTTTGGTGGATCATCTCATTATTGATCATCTGTGCTTTATGTCTGTGCTCTTCTTCCAGCTCTGGCATGGCTGACTCTCCATTGCTCTTTCTTTGTGTTGATTTTGGACTCCCCTTTTTCAGTCTTCTGGTGTTTATAACATGATGGAATTTTTCATGCCTGATGTACTTACCTAACTCTGGACCTCCTAGCTGCCTCATCTTGCCCAGTCATCTCCTATCTTTGACCCAGCATAATAGAATACAGAAATTTATAACTGGAAAAGATCATAAATGTTGAATCTAATTATTCAATCAAGATGATCATAAATATTGAATCTCATTCTTTGATGATCAATAGAACAGGAAAATACGCTACAGAGGACCTTGATAAGTGGACTTTCCAGTCACTGAGGCTACTGGTCTCCTTTTTAGGGGAAGAAACTGAGACCCAAAGTCAGTAGCAAAGTAATGCAGGGCTTCAGCTAGTTCTGAAGTACAATTTTTTTTTTTAGCTACCTCACTTTGCATACAAGTGTCTACTGTGTTTGTCATTAATACCACTGCTTTTGAATGAAAGAAGAGACTACCTCAAATATAATGCCTAGCATTATAAATTTATTTTCTGCCTAGCAGAAAATAAAAAGAGAGGGAAAGAAAGTAGCTGGTATTGCAGAGAGGTGATATTAGGTAAGTATTTGTACTGAAGATAGATGCCAAATCTTTTGCCACTACAAGGTATTTGAGAGATGATTAGTTTTCTTTATTTTTTTTCAAACCCAAACTATTTTTTCTGATCTGAACTACTCAATTTATTTGATAATGGCTTTTCATTAGTATGAACAATGCATTGCTAGGCTGTCTTTGTATAAAATTTAAATATTATAAGTAATTTAGTATATGAAAAAAACTAGATAGAGCCTCCCCATTACAGCCCAATCCTTTTCCCTCCTCAGAATAAGCAAGTACACTGATACACTGATGTACATATATATTCATAAGTAGAGTAACTTACAAATCATAAATATGATCATACATCCACAGGATTTTATCAATTAATTGCATTAATAGATTCTGGATATCTCACCAACTTACCTGACTCGAGGAAGTTAAGTGTTTTGCTCGAGAGTAAGCAAGTAAAAAGCAGAGCTTGGATTTGGACCCAGGACTGACTCCTGAACCAGAATTTTACACTACAAAGTATGTATATGTACCATACATATATGCGTACTATATGTACTACTATACCACTATATATATATTACAAATTTGCACCATAAAGCTGTATTGTATGCCCAATGTTAAATGAAATTATACACTGGGTAAAATACCTGAGGATATATGGTTCATCTATTCTTCTAGATTCTATACAATTTACCTTGGATTAATGAGGTCAAGCCACCACTCCAGGTGATATGATACAGCACCCATCTCTCTCCCAGTTTGTTATAGCTAAATGCACTTTTGCCTACGTTAAGGGATGATTTAAAAAAAGAAAAAGATCCATGAAATTTGTTATTCCATTTATTCTAAGAGCATATGAAAAATGTTGTCCCCATTGCCAATAGAATCCTCTTCATAAAGCCCAATAGTTTGAATTCTTCTCTAATGTCTACTCCAGGAATAGTTGTGCATCTGGTGAGTAATGCTGCATGATTTTGTTAATTTTAGAGGATACTATATAACCAAGTCTCTCTCTCATCCTATTAACCTCTAGAAAGCTTAAGCCAGATCCCAAGTTGGGTTAAATTCTTCATAGGGGGTTTACTATATTCAATTTAAAAACTGATCTCACTCTTGGCTTAGTCTCTTTGTGTGATACCCTCCATGCTCTCATTTCTATTACTTTTTGTATTTCTAATATTTTTAAAGCATTTTGGAACACAGAATATTGAATGCATTCAGGCAGTACCCCCCATAGTAATTTAAGGTCAGAGTTGGCTTTTCCTCTTCCCAGTGGTGGGGCTGCGTGGTAGTAAGACTCATTCTCCACAGCCAGACCATTTGGGCATGAACCCCAACTCGGCCACTTGCAGCTTTGTTATCTTGGGCAAGTTACTTCATGCCCGAATTTTCCCAGTTGTACAATGAGGATTATAATATTGTGACCTTACCTCATAGCATCGTGAATCTGAAAGTGAGTTAATCTCCTCTGAAATTATATAACTGGTTTAGAAGAATGCCTGGCACAGGAAATTCTGGGTAAATCTAGCAAAGGAGCCACTGGAGCAATTCTGTAGTTTTCTTCTCGAATTTTTCAAGTTGAGGAATTTGTAGTTAGACTTAGGTCCACAGAATCTCAGCGCTGAGAAGAATAATAAAGGTCAACTAGGCTAATCATCCCTGTAGAGGAAAAATCATCTCCATAACATTCGGGGGCAGTAGTTTTACACTAAAGTCAGAAAAAAATCCTTCAGCAACCACTTCGAGAGAACACTCATGATCTGGAATGTCTTCCTTAAGCTTCATAGCTGGTTCTCTTTTCTCCTGAATGTTTTTCGTTTTTGGCATCATCCCAATTTGACCAATAATATATAAATCTCTGAGTAATTGCTTCACTTTAAAAAATGTAATTTTCCCTACACTGAATATCTTCCATTTAAAATTTGAGCAATTAGGGGCACCTGGGTGGCTTAGTGGGTTAAGGCTTCTGCTTTCGGCTCAGGTCATGATCCCAGGGTCCTAGGATCGAGCCCCACATCGGGCTCTCTGCTCAGCGGGGAGCCTGCTTCCTCCTCTCTCCTGCCTGCTTCTCTGCCTACTGTGATCTGTCTGTCAAATGAATAAATAAAATCTTAAAAAAAAAAAGGCTTTGTTTAAAAAAAAATTGAGCAATTAGAATATTGTTATTGTTCTGATGCTTTTTTAAATTAAAAAAAAAAAAATCTGTTTAGGGAGCACCTGGCTGGCTGGCTCAGTTGGTAGAGCATGCGTCTCCTGATCTCAGGGTTCTGAGTTCAAGCCCCACATTGTGTGTGGAGTCTACTTAAAAGAAAAAAAAAAAAAAAGAATTAAAAAAAAATCTTTAAAAATTGATCTTGCAAAAGACATGGAAATAATGGTGGGGAAAGGAGGAAAGCACACAGAGTCAGAAGACTTGTAATCTGGTTTGAGTTCTTTGACCAGCTAGTGATCTCCACAACTTCTCTACTCTGGGTTTCAGTTGTAGAGTATGTAAATTGCTGAGTGAACTAAATGCTCCCAAACGTGCCTACAGTTTGGAAATTCCATGATCACTTTGCATTTGTCCAGCTAACTCCTTCTTGATCATTGTATTTACTGCATATCAGAAACTCCAGCAGTGATTGCACAAGATCAAAAAGAGAAGTCAATTTGGTTAATTGTTATCACTGGCAAAAAAAAAAAAAAAATACTGAGTGGCTTAAAATTTAAAGAACTGAGAAACAAATTGAGGTAGTTAATCTTTAAAATTGACATTTTGATAAGAATGAAGTCTATTCTTAAATGTTGAGAGGGTAAGCAAAGATTTTTAATGGAGGGAGATGAAGCAATCCACACTCCTGATTATGCGCTTACTTTTCAATTTCCCAAATAGGAAATTTCTACTCTTTTGTTGGGCTAGAACACCTAGAGAATGTCCCTATGTCTACAGTGGGATACTGTATGTTTAAGATTTATATTTTTTTAATATAATACTTAAAATTTTTATGACTATAAAAGTGATGTATATTCAAAAAATATGGAAATGTGGGAAAGATAAAGCGCCTCATGATACCAACTGTAAGAGAAGAAAGCATTGTTAGTAACTCGGTGTATAGGAGCATACTACTACAAAACACCTAATTAGTGAAAACATCGCATTTATGTAATAGAATATACAAAGTAGAACTGAGCCTTCTTTGTTATTTTACTTCACAAGGCTTTTGATGATAAGTATGAATCTTCTTGATGACTGGATAACATTCCTTTATAAGGATGTCTCATTAATTATTTTTAAAATCCTTTATCGATGATTGCTTGTCTTAGGATGCCTTCTAAAATTATACTTCAACTGCCATATTTCCCCAGCCGTTTGCACCTGTGTCTTTACGTGAATAAACACACACACACACACACACACAGACACACACAAAACCTACAACACAAAAAACGAAAAGCATGTTCCCTGGGTGATTAACTTTCCTCTTAAATGTTTGGGGTAAAATTTTTACGTTGACACTTTACATATGTTAAAAAGTCACTTCCGACTAGAACGATGATAAACATGACACACTGTCTCCTTGGAGAGGCTGGGAGCAATAAATTAGCTGACAGTTATGAGTGCTTTCAAGCTGAAAAGTACTGAGTGTTATTTTAACAAAAACTGAAGTAGCCATGATTAAGTACAGCTCCAACTCACAGACTTACCGGGCTGTGATGAACAGGTTTCGACTGCTTAATCCCAGAATACTTCGACAATGCCCATTTACCAAAGTATGAAAAAAGTCCATCGGCACACCTACATTCCCGGTGCCCGGCATAGCAACGGACTGTGCGATAAATAGCGCAGAAGTGGTTTAGGTTAGCTAAGCCTCCCGAAAATCTCACTGTGAACTTTGTTTTCGTGTGAGGAAACGTTTTAAAACTTATCCCAGGAATGATTGCATTGTGCCTAGACACTCAATTGGTTTGACCATCCTGACTGAAAGAATCAACGTCACATTCTTTGGTAAATGGCACGTGTAGCCACTTTCAGTCATTTCCCCCTTTTCCCAACTTTTCCTCTAACCAGGTCTGCAGCCTGGCTATTCTCTACCAAGATATTAAAGGTTAACAGAAATTATAAACCTTCCCTGGTGAATCTGCATTTTAAAGAAATTTCATACCTAATATCTATGACAAGTTACCCCTGAAAAGTTAGTCTCCATCTTCCCAATACACAACTGTCATCTTAACTCTAGAATCAAACCTTATGACCATGAAATTGCCTATGTGTGACAGTTGCACATTCACCTGTATTCTCAGTGTCCCGGATGAACTGGGCATATTGCAACCATTTGGTTCATTGTGCAGGGAGGTGGTACACAGTGAGTACATGATTGTTCTGGGAAAATAGGTACAGTCAGAAGAAATATTATGGTCCAAGAGAATAGGTTTTGGCCATCCAGAGGTCCGGCATTAACTCTTCTTCTTTTACCAACAGGTGCATAAACTATAAAGATCGATACACAAGTGACTGGTATATCTGGTAAGGATAACCCCAATTTGTTATAAAACCTTTGGTGATGTATATATACTCTGTTTCCTAAATAATAGAAATGGCACATAAAATCATAGAGTTAAGGAAATTTTAAAGGTCATGAAATATATGTGGAAACATCACGTTCTGATTTTTGGTTAGTGTTTACTAACGTACTTCCTGTGACAGGGAATTTAAACTGTTTTGGGAATAGTTTATTCCCAAATTAGAGAAATTTGACAATGAAATAATTGTTTTTCCTTTTGAAATCTCCCTAAATGACTCCAGTACTGATTTCAAAATTCTTAAAAACCTTCAAAATAAGACTTCTACCTTTTACAAGCTGTCCTTCAGAAACTGTTAGACAGTAGTTATACACCTTCTACATCATGACTTCTGTATTTTTTAAACCAAACATTATTAGTTCTCTCAATTAAGTGGTTAGATCCTGTCTTGTCTACTTTAAATCCCCAGCCCCACCCGACATCTAAGACTGCCTCAGTTGCTTAACTACTAGTTGAATGTATGGCTGGCTGGCTGAAAGATAGGAATAATGGATGAATGAATTAAGGGACAAAGACACTGTTCCTTGGAATAACCTTCAATTTCCAGAGGAAATGATCATCAGCCCCTGGCAAGATCGACCCACTCTGAGCACCATAAGTGTTCCAAGTTTAGCAACAGTATATGAGTAGTGGTGGGGGATTGCTTAAAGAGTTTGGCCTCACAGATTTCTTGCACCATGTCTCCTGGAGCTCTTGCCCCCTTTCCAGGAAGCACCAGGAGTTCCTAAGCTCCCTGCATGCTCCACCTCACTCCTTCTCTGCTCCTTCTTGGCATCAGGTTCTTGCTGCTGATTTTCCTGGTGACTCTTCTCTGTGGAGTCATGTTCTTCTGCCTCCACTGCTGGCTGAGGAGACCCCGAATGGAATCCCCAAGTCGCACCATGGCTGTTTTTGCTGTTGGAGACTTGGATCCCGTTTATGGTGAGCTGTCTGCACAATTCTAAACTTCCCGTTTGAAACCTAATGGTTTGTGGTGAATTGAAGAACTAACCTCTTGAAAAGCAAATTTGTGAACTGAGAACAAGACATGGTTTATTGGAGACCTAAAGGCATGCCATGGGGAGAGAGTCTAAGTGAGAAAACTTCAGAAGAAAGGAGACATGAAAAGAAAAAAAGAATGTGAATTAGGGAAATGACCCATAGTTGAGTATGGCAATAGAACCTCAACCTTTTGTTCAGTCAACATGCAAAAGAGAAGAGATACACAGGGCTGGTCACTCCAAGGGAGGGGTAAGGTGTAAGGTACACAATAACCTCTTCGAGCCTTTGATATCAAACTGTCCTGCCCTGGTGTTCCTATAGTGTCATTACTAAGTTCTCCATGCCTCACTTATCTGCAGTAGCATTGAACCATACTTTCCAGATTGTCTGCTACCAATGGATAGCCTGAAATACTTGGAATTGGGCAGGCGGGTGTCAATGCTCATGTCCTTTCTCCCCAGACACAGGGGCAGCACCCTGATCCTGCCTGTTTCCAACTCCCACCCCCAAAATGACGCCCATCCTATTATTTTCCAGTCTGTAGGAGAGAGTAAGCAATGGAGGGAAGCCAGGCTTTAGAGTTATTTGTAACTGCCAGCCTTAGTTGTAGGTAATACAATTATCACTTACTGGTTTCCGGGAGATCACAGGTCATAGATTATTTCTTTGTGTTAAGCATTGTTCTCAACCAAACCATCTGTCATGAAACTCCCTCTGAGGTGCTGTCTTGTACACCATACATAGAGGCCTCAAGAGGGCTTCATAGAGATTAATAGCTGCACTTCAGGAACTTGGGCCAGCATAAGATTTTCAATGGATGGAACAGGGAAAGCCCTGGGAAAACTAACAGCTAAATAAAAGATGGAGTAAAAATAAACCTAAATGTTTTAATATCAAAACTTGGTACTCAAGATTTAGTGATTATATTAACTATTGGTTTTCTAAAAAGTCATTATTTAACAAAAGAAACATATGTCAATTTGAGAAATGGTTATTTGCAGAAAGATAGAGTCTCCAATTAAAAAATCATCTTTCGCCTAAAATCAAACACTTTCTATTGAGCATAGAAGGAAATAGGGCCACCAACATTCTTATAAATTGTATTAGTCAAAGGGGTCAACATGGTCACATTGGTCTATTTTTATTTATTTAACTTGAGGCATTTAACAAATAAATGTAATTATGATACCTCCAACTTGACTTGAGTTTTTAAGGAGGATAATCCACTCTGGTCTTCTTAGCCCTTCTGAAGAAGACTCTTTTACTAGACTGTCTTGAATCATTAAAAACTTCTCTTCTTAATTGTAAGCAAGCTACCCAGTTGTAGTGTTATCATTTTTAAGGCAGTGTATGTGCCACAGTTATATCCCCATTTTTCTGATGTTTTTATATTTCCTGCTTGGTGATTTACACATATGCTTTTGATTTGCCTGAATGTGCCTGAACAGGTATGATTGGGAGAGAAGGTGTCAAAACTGATAGATTATGGCAATAATCTGCATGTAATCATACCAAATGCAGGGCATTAGAATTGCATTCTCTGTCATTGTGGACAGAAAAAGAATATACTTGGGAAGAAATTATTTAAAAAAAATATAGTCACAATTTATTTCACATCTACCAAGTATTAGGCACTAAATTAGGGGCTTCTCAGATATTATTCCTCATTGCTAAATACCAACCTGGGAAAGCGGCTATTATTCCTCTCAGAAGATGTTATATACGTTTCTCCCTATGCTGGATGAATATACCACAGAGATCTTTACTGCAAGTCAACTAATACACTTCAAATTGTCCACTATTGAGGGTAGGGAGCCAGTGAAAATCAGGGCAGGTCGCTTTATTCTTTCCTCTAAGTGATCCTGTATCTCAGACCTCTAGGCGTTTCCACGGGGTGAGTCCTCAAAGGTAGGTTTTGTTCTCCAGAATCCCCAGTCCCTTTCTCCTTCCATTGGTTCCTTCCTGATGCCACTGCTATCTCTCTGAATCTTATGTTGCTCAAGAAACTTTAAAGCTCTCCTCTAGCTCAAGTTATATTACAAAACTCATTTTTGTTGTTTGCTACTTTCCATTCTAGGGCCAGAGGCTCAGCTGCCCATTCCTATTTTTTTTTTTTTTTCCTTGCCTAGCTGGGTGTTAGGTTATCCCACCCACTACCCATCTCCCACCCTTTCTCAGGGATGCTCAGAAGAGCGTTAGAGGCAGTGAACAGCCATTTGCATGGTTTTTGATGTGGAGATGTCTCCCATTCCTGTTTTTCCCCCTCCCAAGCAAAATACAATGGAGTAATTGAGGAAGTGGTATTCTCTGTGATCTTTAGTGACATCTTCTTGCCTAGCAATTTCTGAAAGTAAATTCCAGGGAGTCAATATTTTAAGGCAGTCTGAAACCCAGACCCTGACTGGATTTCTTTCCCCCACTGGATCCCCATTATACTTTCATTTCTCCTGACAAATGATTCTTCCTGCCTTTTATTTCTGTAAAAGCAGGTTTTCTCCAAAAGGAAAATGAGGGAACCACAACAGGACCTTTTTATGGCTACAGAGGAGGTAAGAGCCAAACTCTCTTTAGAGATTGGCTACTCTACTCTACTGAGCACAAAGTATGTGCTCATAGCTTTGAGTTGAGTCCAGTCTCCACCAGATTCACACATCCACACTGATGGTTGTGGGGTGGTACCTCAGGATCTTCCTCATTGTCGAAGTTCAGAAGGGAGAGGAAAATGAGAACTCACTTGAAAGACACTGGTGACATTAGAATATGAAATAAGGTTTCTGGACTCCCTGCCAACCTTTGAGCACAAGATAGGAATTCCCTCCTGAATGTAGGAAATGGGTCATTTAAAGCATTTTAATGGCTAGACTAGATTTTCTTTACTAACCTTGGGGTTCTTCCTAGACCTTTACTTTATTTCTTCAAAAATTATCTCATGCTATTGCCACTATTTGCTGAATCTATTAGTTGAAATAGCTCTGCTCTTCTGACCAGTGGGTCCAAGGTTTGACTCTCAGGATCCCATGGAAGCTTCCCTCACGTGACAAGCCAAGAGGAGAATTTTGATGGAATATGGAAAGCTGGGATGGACTAAAATTTACTGCTATTAAAATATATAAAATGGGAAATTTCTTCCACTAACAATACCAGACAGCAGTATTATGTCTCAGGTTGTCAATTATCTTGATTAGAAATATTCAAGAGACAAAGACAAACACTTGCTTGGGATCCTCATAAACAGTGTGCCAGCCCAACGCACCCAATGCACGACGATATTTCTGTCTGGGAAAGGTCCTTGGGAATCTCACACAAATACCCAGGCCCCTGTTGCATCTCATGTGCCAGTAGGCAGGACTTTTCACAGTACTGATCTAGTACTCAGATTCCTCAGTCTTTCCTCTTCTCTCATGGGATCTATGTTTCTATGTCCATAGCATGTCCAAAAGGGGGAAAGAATCCCTCCAATATCCCCATGGAGAGTAAGGAGAAACAGCGAGAACTGCTAGAGAAAGAGGAAGGGAGGGAGACCAGAAGGAAGCCAGGAAGGTGGAGGGAAAGGGGAAGGATGAAGAGTAGAGGAGAAGGAATCTACAGTTGGAGGTTGGAGGTATTTTGAGGAATGAAATGAATAATGATTTATTTTATGCAAGCCCTAGGTCATGTTACTTTTTTCTGCCTCAGTCCCACCTCCTCTTCCAGGACCCAGCCCCCAGATAGTTTCTCTTCTTCCGTTATCACCCAACACCCCTCCCCACTCCCAGCTCCTCTCATGGATCCAGTTTTCCCTTAGCATCACTGCTGTACCCCCAGAAAGGACCTGTTCAATGCCCTACACCTTCCTCTGTGGGGTTCTCTGTGACGTGATCTCTGGAACCTCTTGCCCTTTCTCTCAGCCATCAAACCCTAACAGTTCTAGAATAACTCAGCACCTGTGTTAGGGGCAAGCATTTCTTGTTTTAATGTTTTCTTATGGCCTTACCTTACCTTACCTATTTTAATGATGCCTTTGGAATCCCTTTTATCTGAGAAGTCCACAGAAAATGGGAGATTTTGAAGGGTATTTTCCCCCTCAAATTAATAAATGGAGAGAACACACACTGGGCCACAGAAATGATGTTTTAAAGGACTGTATACAGATTTTTAGTAGAGGTGGGAAAAGAAGAGAACATCATTCAAATTCTCCACACCCATCTGTACCCCAAATCAGAATCAGCGCTCTCACTTTAAAGGATCTGGTTCTGTGAGACAGGGTGAATGGGTAGACAATACAAGTGACTTGAAAACAGTTTTGAGATTTTTAGTTTCATAGTTTTGTTTATGTGTTAAATCTGTATTTGAAAAAATAAGTAATGGCAAAGGAGCTGTAAAGTTGACCATAAACAAACTTTTTTTTTGTTTTTGTTTTTTGTTGTTGTTGTTGTTGTTGGTTTACTGAAAACAGGTCTTCATTGAACATAAGGTTGTGACGCTGAGTAAAAGCTCTTATTTGTGAGAAAATAAGACATTTAAGGATAATGAAAAGAAAAAGTTTGGGGTCTGGTAGGTGAGATGACAAAAGGCTTGAGGCAGAAAAAACAATCTAGTGTTCATTAGAAAGAGAGAATTTGAGAGCATAAAGAAAAGATCCCCACCACTATCTGTCCATATTCCTTATTAAAAATAATAAATTACTGTAAAATCTACATTGCCTCCATTTCCATCCTATGTAGATCAGACTTGGGTCCTGTTAGCCCCAGCAAGGCAGCAAACAGGTCCCATGCCATTCCTGAGAAGCCAGCGAGGTGAGTGCCCACGGAGACACCCCTCCTGCGGCCACTCATCTTAGGGACTGATCTCCTCAATAATGCTGCCTTTCAGAGATCCAATCTTCCTGACCCCATTTCTTCTACAATTTCAGAGATAATCTTCCCTTTTTTGTACTTCTGGGTAAATAGAAATACTAATCTTTCATCAATGATGAAACGTAAGGGCTCTGAATTGGGGAAGGGACAGAGAAGAAGCAGGCTTCACATGCCAGCTCCTCTCTCCCTCACCTCTCCCAGATCCTATCTTATTTTAGGATTGTTTCCAAAGTGTTACCTCTCTGAACTTTATGTTCTTCAGGTAGATATTCTGTGACTCATTTTAGGTAAGGAAAGAGGGAGCATTTCATTCACCTACTTTCGTTTCAGAGCATAATAGTAGTAATAGCTCACATTTATTGAGCACTTACCATGTGCCACGTTCTGTGCTAACACCTGACATCTTTAGGCTCATTTACTCTTCCATACAATGCTATGAGGGGTTCACTATCATTCTATACTCCAAAGATGAGGGAGCTCCTCCTCTCTGCCATTGTAGTACAAAAAGGTACATTGTGTAAATGAATGACATAGTTATGTTCCAATTATATTTAATATATAAAAGTAGTCACAGAACTAGATCTAGTTCAAGGGACATTTTTTTTTTTCTCTTTAAAGGTGTATTTTTTTAAAAGATTGATTGATTGATTGATTGATTGATGAGAGAGACAGAGCGAGAGCATGTGAGCAGGGAGAGGGGCAAGAAGAAAGGAAGAAAATCTCAAGTGGACTCCACACTGAGTGTGGAGCCCCTGAAAGGGCTCCATCCCAGGATCCTGAGATCATGACCTGAGCTGAAACCAAGAGTCAGAGGCTTAACCCACTGAGACACCAGGCACTCCTCTTTAAAGGTGAATTTAGAGTTGTTACTAGAATTTATAGTAGTCATTGTTTTGAAAAGAAGCAATCAGGGCACCTGGGTGGCTCAGTAGGTTAGGGCCTCTGCCTTTAGCTCAGGTCATGATCCCTGGAATGGAGCCCCGAGGTGGGCTCTCTGCTTGGCAGGGAGACTGCTTCCCCCTCTTTCTGCCTGCCTCTCTGCCTACTTGTGATCTCTGTCAAATAAATAATAAATAAAATCTTTAAAAGAAAAGAAAAGAAAAGAAGCAATCAAACCATTTCAAGACAAAGACCAAGGTAGGGGAAAATATATGGATTGTGGCTATGAAATGTTACTGTTGGTTCTTGTAACTCAAAAGCAGTAGCAGTCTTTCAAGGAAATACTAACAGGAGATTTCCAAAAGAGCTATGGGAATAAGTACATAGTTTCTCAAAGTGATCAGTTTGAGGAAGAAAATGCTTGTTTTTGATATTTAGTACCTTACAGTGTGCATAATCTTAAAGTCAAAATTTTTATTTCGAGGCATTTTTAAAAATTTGATCAGGTTTTTCCTTTATTGTGCATGTGTACTTTAGATGCAAACTTTTCACAAGTTAACATTTTTACTAGTTCTCATAGAGAAATGTTTAATTAATTACACTTGCTTAGTTTGCAGAGCATAAATATGAAATAATGAAGTTCAGACATTACGCTTAAATATTTCTATTGAAATTTGCCTTTCCCATGATGGAAACATTAGCTAAAATACTGTTAGTATTTATAGGAATCTTGTCTTCCAGTCTACCAAAAAGGGCATTCTCCCTACTTTCGGCCTTTAAATTGTAAATGCTTCTTGATGGGTTAGTCAGTGATGATATCATCTCTTCATGAGAGCAAATTTCCTTGCTATAGTGACTAAACTATCACTTTAGAGAGAGCAGGATGGTTGTAAATTTTTTCTCAAGGGCACAAATAATTTTCTGTTGCTCCAGTGATCCAAGAAATGCCAGATTTTATTAGGCAGTTCATGTACTTCTGTTTTATGCTGACTAGAAAGATTACAAGTCCCCATTTTTCTCTTTCCAGGGACAGAAGTGGCTGTGAATCCAACTGTTGGAATTCACCTTCAAACTCAAAACCCTGAAATGTGTCCTGCTCCATGTTTTGGCACTTTAGACCCCCCACCTCCATATGAAGAAATTCTGAAATCAAGCTGATAGCTCCAGATCGTCAACTGACAACATTAGAAACATTTTTTTTTTTTCAGTTCTGAAACATCAAATGTAGGAACAATTGTTTTATTTAGTGTGAATTTTCAGAAATCAATTAATATAGCCTGAAAAAGGACAATTAATATAGTCTGCAAAAAGACAAGAGAATGACTGTAGAGAAAGAATTTCAGTCAGGGAGATGTTTCAGTAGTGAATTACTGGACTTTTCGTGTATCATTGCTGTGTTCTGTTTCATGCTATACAACCAAGTGATTGTCTCTCTATCAACACTCCCATTAATGCAAGGAGTAGTCTCCATTAAGTGCGATTCCACTCCAGGTACACATCACAGCTTTCTCTGCCTTATTCTCTCTGTTTTCATCCAACCCCTCCCCTTGTATGGAGTTAATAAGAGTTATCATAATTAAACGATGGTCCAAGCGGAGATTCAGACATGTCCAGACCCAGACCAGAAAGAGAATATTTGAATTAGGGTAAAAGGTGAGAGTAGGAACAAGGGACACTCAGAATTGAAGGATGAAGGGTGAATGAAGGAGATTAAAAGTCCCCGTTCGAAAAGGTGCCTGTCTCAGCCTGAGGAGAGAGAAAGCGTAGATGGAGGCTGAAGGAGACCCCGAAGCTGTGTGGCATGTGTAATAGCACAGTGTGGAGAAGGAGGAGGCTTCCATTTGGATGGTAAATGTAGGCTCTAGAGCCCGCAGTCTTTCTCTGGTACCTGGAGGCATTTCTTGAGGAACTATGATAAGTATCTTTGGCTTAGATATCAATGTTCTTATTGAGAACACTGACTACAGAAGTAGCAATGGGACAGTTTCAGCATTTTTGCAGTGACCATGAGCAATGGGGGGCCAGGAAAAGAAATCCATGCTAGAACAGCCGGTGGTGTTCACCTGACAAATTTGTCAAACAAAACAACTGATACCTCCACTTATTTATTTAAAATACCTCTTAAGATAGCTTGACCAAATTTATCTCCTAATCTTTTCGCAAACTTGTTTTTCCAAACTTTCCTCATCTCCAGCAACAGTAACAGCAACTTTTGAGTTGCTTAGACCAAAGAACTTGGAGTCATTCTTGAGTCCTCCCTTTGTGTCTCTTCCTGTATCCCTGTTGTCAGAAAGTGGCTTGGCTCAGCTCTTAACTTCAAAATAAGCCTAGATTCTAAACAGTTCTTACTACATCCCTGGTGGGAGCCACTCACAACCAATCATTGCCTGGATGACTGTAATAGCATCTTGACTGGTCCTTTTGCTTGCAGCTTTGCCCTTCTATATATTCTATTTCCAACACAGTAGCTAGAGCAGTATTTTCAAAACATAAGGAGAATCATGTCCCTTACCTAAACTCCAGTGACATTCCACCTCACTCAGAGGAAATGCTGAAGTCCTTGTCCCAGGCCCCTGTAGGATCAATACCCTGCCCAGGTCTCCTTTCCCGTGACTCTCACCCTTACTTATTTGTCCCAGGAACACTGTTATCAGACCTATCAGGTGTTAACCTTCCTGTATCTGTCTGTTCGGGCCCTAGTACTTGCTGTTTCTTTTTTTTTTTTTCTCTTCTTTTCTTTTCTTTCTTTTTCTTTCTTTTTTTTTTTTTTTTTTGACAGACAGAGATCACAAGTAGGCAGAGAGGCAGGCAGAGTGAGAGGGGGAAGCAGGTTCTCCACTGAGCAGAGAGCCCGATGCAGGGCTCAATTCCAGGACCCTGGGATCATGACCTGAGCTGAAGGCAGAGGCTTTTACTCACTGAGCCACCCAGGGGCCCCACTTGCTGTTTCTTTTGTCTGCAACACTCTTTCTCCAAATATCAACATTGTTTCACTCTTTTACTTCCTTTAATTCTTTGTACCAATGTCACCTTCTTCATGAGACCCACGCTGATTATTCTACTTTAAAAATTGCAACTTCTCCCCATCCTGGCACTTCCACCTCTTTGTCTCAGATACACTTTTTTTTTCATAGCACTAACCACCTACTCTACTACAAAACTGAATTCTATTTATAATCTGGTCGCCTTCCCTTGCTAGAATGTAAATCTATAAGGGGACAGATCTTTGTGTTATTCACTAATTTATATCCCAGGGTCTAAAGGAGTCTGGTATTTAGTATGTATTCTAGCAAATTTTGTAAGCCATCTTACCTAGTTTGGGAAAGTCCCAAAGGTAAATGGATGAGATTTGGTAGGGATAAGGCTTTACAACAGTGAATGTGGGTAAGAGCCAGGGACAGATGGCTTATTGCTACTAAAATAATCTCATTAGTATCTACTGATGAAAGAAGCCCAGAGAACTTGTGTTAATATACTCTAATAATCTCAGGTAGGTATGCAAGGTTTAAGGTATATACAAGGTGCTTCCAGATTTTATTCTCATGATAATTTTGTGACCTAGCTACCCCTAACTTCGAGTTACACATGGTAGATTGAACATATCTGCTCCCTTCTGGAATGTACTAAGATTACAATAAAAGAGGAAAAATGTTTTTAATTCACAAGAACAAAGAAATTGGCAAGAAGATGACAAAGAACATTAACAGCAAGATTTTGGTATACAGAGAGATATCTGAAAAGGAGGCAGATGGATAAATCATAATTCATTGGGGTTTCAAGTTTCTCCACTTGGCTTAGTGTCTTCAGGGACAAAACTGAGAATAATCAAGCAAATTCATGCTGTAGCAATGCAGGGACTCCCCAAGAATTAGAGGTAGGAGAGGTGAAGAGAACTCTGGAAATGATGATGAACATGATCTAAAGGAAGATAGTATTTTTTTTAAAGATTTTATTCATTTATTTGACAGAGATCACAAGTAGGCAGAGAGGCAGGCAGAGAGAGAGGGGGAAGCAGGCTCCCCACTGAGCAGAGAGCCCGACTCAGGGCTCGATCCCAGGACCCTGGGATCACGACCCGAGCCAAAGGCAGAGGCTTCAACCCACCGAGCCACCCAGGCGCCCCCAGGAAGATAGTATTAAGCAACTTAATTAGTATTAAGAACATATTAAGAGCCAGTTCCAGTCAGGACATGACAACAAATAGCTGTAGGATGATAAGAGGGATATTAAGAAAAAAAATACATAATAAAAATGTGGTGATAAATTAACAATTGGTAAGTGGAAAGTGAAGGAACTGAAAAGACGATTCTATATCTATGAAAAACAGAAGCAGGATTAACCCCCCAACCCTGAAATGGTTAAACTATGAATAATGTAAATGGTAAGTATTGAGTTTTACATTGGGCATTAGTTATATCAATAAGCTAAATAGAGGGGGCAGTGTGTCTAAGGAAAGGTGGCAGGATTTAATAAGAAAACTAAATCCTAATCAGATTGTGGGAAGTCAGTGAATAATATTTAAAATTAAAAGAAAGGGATGCTTAGGTGGCTCAGATGGTTGGGCATCTGCCTTGGGCTCAGGTCATGATCTCCAGGTTCTGGAATCACGAGCCCCACGTCTGGCTCCCAGCTCAGTTGGGGGCCTGCTTCTCCCTCTCCCTCTGCCTCTCCCCCTGCTCTTGCTCTCTCTGTCTCTCTCTCTCTTTCTCTCTCAAGTGAATAAATAAAATATTTAAAAAAAAAATCAATTCAATTAAAAGAAAAATTTTTAAAAAATTGTTAAGTGTGTCATTTGGAAATTGGGTCCTAAGTATCTGAAGCAAAACACTAAAACAGTTGAAAATTATTGCCTCAAGAAGTTGGGGATAATGCTATGTGGGGTTGGGTTAGAGCTGAGAAGTGCTGGCTTTTATCTGAGCCTATGATACAATTTGAGTTTTAAAAGTAAATGCATGTGTTACTTTAATTCTTTCTCAATCTCTCTTTCTATAACCCTAGCTATCTATCTATTTATCTATCATGATCCATCACTGCCTTCATTTAACAGATTAGAAAATGTGGGTTCTGGAAAAATTACTGACTTGCCCAACATTCATTATTTACTAGCATGAGGGACAAAACTAGAGACGAGGCATTTTGATCTTTCAGTTCCTATTCCAGATATTTTTCCCCACAATGATCATCTAACTTCAAAAGTGGCTACAAGTGGCACCTGGCTAGCTCAGCTGGTTGAGTGTCAGACTCTTGATTTTGGCTCAGGTCATGCTCTCCATGTTGAGAGATAGAGCCAGGGTCTGGCTCTGCGCTCAGCAGGGAGTCTGCTTGAGATTCTCTTCCTCTCCCTCTGCCCCTCCCCTGCCGACATGTGTGCATGGGCACGCGCTCTCTTTCTCTCTCTCTAAAATAAATAAATCTTTTTTAAAAAGTGGCTACAAACATCAGAGAATGTGGGTTATAAGTAAGTGTACCTCAAATAAGTCATGCTACGGAGTTTTTGTTCATATCCTATGAGCTATGTATGTTAAAATTCATTCCCATTACAGAACAGGCAGTGGATATAATCGACACCTAGAAAAGTACAAGCACATCTGGAAACAGGGCTAACGATTCAGCAGCTGGAGTTTGCCAAAGACGTTAGTGAAAACACGGTTGAAGCGATCGGAATTTATTTTTGTGACTTGCATTTACGTGTCAGGGCATGCCTTACCAAACTGCATGCTTGGCATGTGGTTGGTTGGTTGGTTTTGGGGGATGGGGGGAAAAGTGTGGGAGGTGTTGACAGGTAAGTAGGGCTGATAGAAAAAGTCTGTTTACATAAAAACTTTTTTGACAAAGATGTCTTATCAGACAACCCAGATTACATTTTCATTTAATTCTAAAAAATACCCGTTAAATGACCACTACATGTTAATTATCGAGTAACATTCTGGATATATTTCTCCACCAAACTTGTTAGTATGATTTATAATGATATTAAAGTTTCCATTACTTTGCTCAGATCTCCAGACAGAGACTTAGAAGTTCTAGCAGATGCTCCTTATGGTCCATGGAAAACTACTGAAAATAATAAAAGTAATTTGGATTATATGATATCATAACATTTAAAAAGGAAATTTAAAACGATAAACCTGTACATTTTCTGTCATCTCATCTCTGAAAATCTTTACTTGCATCTTAGTTCACCAATAAATTGTTAAAC